AGCGTCGTCACGGCCATTCGGCCCCTCGGCGGCAACGGAAAAGAAGGCTGGGAACTCACGGTCCGCGACACCACGGGCACCGGCGAGACCTCCACCATCACCGCCCAAACCATCATCAACTCCGCCGGCTTGGGAGCCGTGGATATTTACAACATGATCGTCCCCCCTTCCCAGGCAAAACAAATGTTTTATGCTAAAGGGAACTACTTCTCTTATCCTGCCTCTTCCCCGAAAGTCTCAACCCTCATCTACCCCGCCCCCGAACCGGGGGCCGGCGGTCTAGGCACGCACCTGACGCTCGACCTGGCGGGGAGGATCAAGTTCGGCCCGGACGTGGAGTGGGTCGATTCTCCCAATGACTTGGCTGTCAACTCAGCTAGGTTACCCGAGGCGATCGAAACAGTCAAAAAGTACTTGCCGGACTTGGACGAGACGCAGCTGCAGCCGGACTACGCGGGCATCAGGCCGAAGCTGGGCAAGGCGGGCGCGGTGGCGCAGGGGAAGGGGTTTGTGGACTTCGTGATAAGGAAGGAGGAAGGGTATGAGGGGTGGGTGAACTTGTTGAATATTGAGAGTCCAGGGTTGACGAGCTCGTTGGCTATTGCCGAGAAGGTGGAGGGGTTGTTGTATGGGTGGATTGATGAGTGAGTTGGTGAGTGAGTGTTTGGGTGGGTAATGAGGTCAAGTACTTACCTAGGAGATGTAGCATAATAGGTAGGTAGGTGGGTAGGTGTTCCATGTTTCTGGGATGGAACTTGGATGTTCCGTTGAGTGATGAGAGCCGTGATATGTGATGGATAGTGAGGATGTCAGGACGGACCAGGCGTTCACTATATCTCCCAAATACACAACGATGGCATCATATCTCTGCCGGAAACGCCTGTATTATGACAACATGCCCACTTCTTTAGGTCCGTTTGATCTCTTCTGTTCCGAATACATATGCTTTCATAATGTTTCTCACACAGCATCAAGTCTTTTAGATCTCCACAGCGCAAAAGGTCTTATTACTGTAGGTTTATCTGGTGAAGGTCATGACCTCCCGGAGAACCTACTTGTCAAACGAGTCTGCCCACTTTTTGTTTTGCAACTGCCGAATGTTCGTTGGGGCTTGTTTTCACTACTTGTTCCAAACCCACGACGAGAGATGCCTGCTTGCACTGACATCTTATTCTCACCAAGCATCGTCTTCGAAACTGCCGTCTCGAACCTGCTGTCTCAAACCCCTCGAGGTAATCATAGAGCAAACATCTCGGACACGACCCAACCGGAAACCAGACTTCAATGTGTACACAGTACTGACCGATGTGAACACCCGACTCGAATGCAACCGGCCGATCTTCCGGACCCCGGCTCGCCTGACCCACTCCGATACGGCCTTGGCATTCCGCATGACCTCTCGAGCCTCTCTGTCGGGTTTCGGAGCTTTGCACCACCGGACGGACTCCACTTTCGGCCGTTTGGACCAAGTACAGGTAGGAACTACCTACGGTTTCCTGCCTTCACTTACACGTGCGGAAGCCTTTTTATTTTATTTTCTCTATTCTGCTCACACAAGCACAAACCTCTTTGTACTTCGCTTTTCCGATTTTTCTGTCCACTGGTTCATTACACTATCACTGCCCAAGTGCACCGTTGCTTATGCCGTGGCCGGGCATGGTGGCCCGTGACTCGTGGCTAGTTGTGGCCCTGTGAGTGTGGCCCACTCCAGCCGGCACACGTGTGAGCTGATGCCGATCATCGCCGCAAGTACCACGCTAGGAGATACCGATGGAAAATGCCAAGAGCACCCCAAGGAACCCGAAGTCCCGAACGGATAAAAGGTGAGCTTGCCTTGCTTGCTGAGTTGGGAAGGGGGTCAATCGGAAAAAAAAAAAAACCTCAAACTTGGCTAGTATGAACCTGTAGTAGTACAAGTGCAAGTGTAAAGTGTGCTGAGGATGGGTAAGTGCTTTATGCTTGTGTCTGGTGTTTCTTGGTGTGCTGTTGATTCCAACTAAAGACGGGGAGCGACACATCCTCGACATCGTGGACTCACTTTTTAGGGTTGGTTGTAAGTGGGAATGGGGTCACGCTTTTCTCTCTTCGTCCCTGTGTGACGGTTCCGTTCAGGGCTTACGAGCGTGGCGGTCAGATGCATAACCGTACCGTCCCAATGGCACGGGATAGGTAATCATCAAACATGGGCTTTCCTGTCTCGAGGCGCTGAGGAGTCTGTTGGGAGAGATTGTGTGTGACATAGGGCATGTGGGAATGGGGGGATGGGAGGACAAACCCCTCATTTCTGGTGATACAAATATTTCGGCCGTCATGCTGCTCCCTTCTCTGCATTGCAGCTTGCTTGGGCGAGTCGAGATGCTGGTAGGCCATCTTGACGGGACAGAGCGGTGGTACACATATCAATAAGGTGGTTTATGTGCTGATGGCTGCCCGGAAACGGGAAGAGAAACGCGCTAATGCAGGAACAGTGAGTTACGAGGTGTGAAGAGGGGTGGCATCCCGAACGTAATTAAATGTTCAATGTGCCTGCTGTTGTGGTGTTTGCGCCAACATAGTGATGAATGGTTGGTGTTGTGATGCTTGGATAGTTCAGCATTCCTGAAGTTCTTCGAATGATGATGTTGGAAGTTGGAAACTCATCAGCTAAGCGTCTTTCGAGTGGCATCCGGTCAAGTAGGAAATCTCTCTACCTGCGAAGCTCCCGCCCGCCAGCGCTGCAGCCACCCGATGGAAAGCAGCAGAGAAGTTTCAACGAAGTGGGGAGAAGCCATGCCGTTATACATGATTTGCCCGCCCTGAACGCCTCCGTCGGCTTGCCATGAGGAGATGGTCATGCGTGGCTTGAAGGGAACTGCTATTTTCATCGCCTTTTTACGGACGTACCGCGTGCGTCCGAGAATCTGAAGGTCTCAGAAAGCTGATGTGCAGCAGGTGTTGAAAGGGTCGTGGCATCATCTGTGTAACTCGGGGGAGGGTGGTGGTCGAATCATGATGCACCAAAGAAACGTGGGATGACTTTGGTTTCCCAGTTTGGTGGCACAATGTTCAATAATCGGGGATTTTTGTCTTGCAACTGGGAAGATGCTTGTGTTGGCAAGGTGATCCGTTGGTGGACCGGTGTTTTGGAGTTGGTGCATGGTTGGTCTGGATGCGACTGCTATCACCAACGGCCCCAGACTGTTCTCCCGCTTCCAGCAGCAGGTGTTCATCCGAACAATGTAGCGGGTAGTGGGTATCCCAGTTTGCCTGCTGTTCCACCATGCTTTTTTGGAACGTGTATAAGTCGAAGATTAATGTTTGCTTGCGTAATCAACAGCGGTATTGGTGGTGAGATTTGCCGCGCTGTGGTTTTCGTTATTCGAGCCAGGGCTGGAGGTGAAGGCCTTTTGAGATGGGAAAGGTGCCGCTGGCAAGCCTCAACCTCAGTAGCGGAATGTAGCTAGCCGAGACTCGTGTTTCCATCAGACGCGAGGACGGCTGAAATTTCATGTTTCCTTGTGTGATGACGGTGGTGATGATGATGGGGAGTGGGGGCAACCTCAACACTCTGAGAGGACAAGAGAACGTGAAGCGGACACGGGGGCAGCGGCAAAGGCAGGAAATGAAGGTTAATCTGGTGAACGACTTCAACTGGCTCCTACCCAGAAAAACAGGCGCCGATATCCTTACTCAGCGGCTGCCGAACTGCCGTCTTTTGCTTCTTGAACCCACTGGCCCATCAAACATGTCAGTGGATGGGGTATACGGGGCAGTAGATCTTCATCACCAGGGGCCAGATCTGATGCCCAACCTGGTGTTTAGAGCATGGCAGATGGAATTCAGGATGGATTCAGGTTGCAACTTGCAACTTTGGAGGACGATGATCGATATGATCCATAGGGCGAGACCTGGGCGGAGGAAGTTAGAGAACTGACAGAACAATCGCACCCCTTCCCTGCAGGCGCGCACGCCGGTGGCATTGGGTGGATTCACGATGCCGAAAAGTCGTGGACCCACTCAAATGCCACCTTTGAATTCGCATTCGCTGGGCGTCAGGGGCTTCCTCGCTCCTGGCCCTTGTCCACCACTGTATTCTGCCCCATATTTATCAATGACAGTTTCAACTTTTTGGCAATGGAACCGTGTTTTTATGGTTCGCGACTGCCTCGTTGCTTCTCTTCTGCAAGGCTTTTGATTAGACTGCATGATGAGAGAACGTCAGCTGTGGAAATTTTCACCGTGCCCGACGTTGTGTACGTACGAAGCAGGTATTGATATGTAATGCTCCCGGGATTAGAGGTGCATAGAGGTATGTATGGTTCCTGAGGTCGGGATGAGTTGCGAACGGTCTTTTCCACTTGATGTCTTTGAATTCGGCTTCTGCTGTCATCTCAACGCCTAACGGCCCGTCCTGTTAGCGCGCTGAAATTAGACACACAACGCTTCCATGACCCGAGGCCGGAACGAGAGGACATCGGCTCACACAAGACAAAGCTGTAGAGACTAGAGAGCGCCTAACGTCCATTGTAATGTCTAGAGCACTTGACCGGCCAGGGTGGCTGTTGGCTGGCGAAGAATCAGTGAATTCAGTCCAGTGACTCTTGTGGTGAGGGCCCTGGAGCAGAACTCCCGAGATGTCACGATCACCGACCCCTGGCCCGCATCTCAGCCTACCAGACACGCCAATCCCACGACTGCATGTCTGGGAAATGTCGAGTCGTTCAGCGTCGCTCAGTCCCAAGGCCCATTGTTGCACATGGCGGGAATGGAGCCCCACTAGCCCATCTCTAGGCCATGGGAGCCATTAGATCCAACATTGGATTGTCTGCATGCGTGAAAAAGGTAATTAGCTTACACCCGACACGCCCTGGAATAGCACCAGTCCCTGTGGTTTTCCCTGTCGTCCCCAGAGGAATCTTTCAATTAATATACTGAACGGCCGTCTGCCCGAATCCTCCTTCATCCCGCCCGCCCACGTTCCGAACTGGGACTCCCTTTCACACGCCGAGCTGGCTCTTTCCCATCTCTCTGACGTATAATTTGGCTGGTTGGGCCTGTCCTGTCAAATATAATTTCCGTCGACCTGTCCAGTCCTGTCCACAGTTTCGACTCTCGCTTCCACACCCCGTGATGCAAAAAAGGGCATGATTGCCAGGGAACGCGCCTGCCGCCAGCTTTGCCTACTAACTGAGTGGTACCGTACCGAGCGTACTTGCTCTCGTTTTTCTGTTTTTTGCTTTTGTTGGTACCACTGAGGCCATCGTCCCTCCCTGGTAGACGACCCATCCATACACAGAGAACCCGCCCCATTTCGACCCAGCGATACCCATCGAACCAAACTTAACCAAACCTTTTCCCACCTGATTTCCAATCTTGGCCTTCCGCTTTCAGATTTGGGAAATCTTCTCGCGCCTGGATTTGACGCCCCGGATTCCCACGGTCCAGGTTCTCATTATCGTATCCAACAGATCTCCATGTTTATTATTACTACCACGGCCGGATACCCTCTTCGAATCTGACCGATCCCAGTCCCCCGTCGTCCGTCCCTCGACCCGGCCTTTTGGTCCTTCCATTTACAAGCCCACCTCGCGGCACCTTGCACTCATTTTTTTTCTTCAAGCAACAAAGGAAGGAATTCAACAACTACCATCGACTCCCATTGCCCTGCATGGGTACATCCAACAAACATTCTTTTCACTCTCAACTACCACCACCACATCATCGCAGCGCCAGCGTGCTGTCCCTTGTGTGGCGGTGAGTACCAGGAACTTTTGCGCCCTGATCGTCACCGCATACCAAACCACATACTCAGGACCTGACACCGCCAGGGTTGGCTCCCTCCGCAGCCATGTCTGAGCCACATCATCATCACCACGACCAAGGGGAGGACGTCGAAGGAGTACCCTCACGGCAGGAGGCGGGCAGCAGGTTAAATAAGAGGGACTCGAAGCTAGGATTGAGGAACTTGTTTCATCGAAACAGATCAGCCACCGAAGCGGAACGAATGTCGACTGTCGCCCCGAGAGAAACGCAAACGAGATCCGGAGGTCTGCGCGCCTCCATCGCCAGTGTCAGCCACTGGCCGTATGGACTGCATCACAGCCATGGCCATGCCCAGCGGTCCGAGGTGACGTTATCCGGGTCCGGATCCCCTCTCACACCTACCTTCCCGGGCCCGACTTTGAAACACAAGAAATCAGCAAGTAATGTGCGTGGACACGCATCGCCTAGAACATCAAGGGGATCCCTGGCTGCTTGGGATCCACCAACACTTTGCCAAGTTTATCCCCAGGCCATCAAGCAAGCTCGTCTTCCTGCCTGTACCGCTTCAGCTGAGGCTATACTCAGGCTGCATCAACATAAGGGCATTTTCTCGATTGGCGACACTTTCGGATCAGGCTCAGCAACAACCGCAGACGGGGCAGCTCCGTCGACAGCAGGTGACAAGTCCGAGAGAGGGAGGAGGAGGCACCGCCGCAATACCTCTGGATCAGTTGCCCTGAGATTAGACTGGACGACCAAGTTTTTTCGTGCTTATCTCGGGATATTTGCTCCAGTACACCGGGGATGGGCCCTTGGACCGTCTGCCGGAGAAGGTCTTGCCGTTGGGAAAGGACTCGGCTGCCTTTGTGAGCGATGTTATTCCAGGACGCCACTGGGTGCTGCAGATAACCGCCACGGCTGATTCGGACTCTGCCGCCCCGTCATCTCACGCCAGCTCATTGCTTGCGCGACTACCCTTTCGGGGCCAGGACAAAAGACAGGCCTCCAATCTCTTAATGGTGTTCGAGAATGCGGCCGATATGGAGAGTTGGCTGGCCACGCTTAGAAACGCAATTGAAGGCCTCGGAGGAAGGAAGAAGCTTTCCGAGACAGGAAACATGAATGTTGATAACGAAGCTTCAGAGCTCCGAAGCCAGACAAGCCAAAGAACCTTGGTAGTTGGCGATTATGGTGGAGCCACATCTCATGAGTCGTGGGACGAACGCCAGAGCACCTCAAACCCGGATATCAACATGGACTTCGCTGATGCTGAAGGGACACGAGGTCAGTCTTTTGACGAGGCCGCGTCCACCGCTAGCGTGATCTCACATGATGGTAGACAGTTAGACGGACTCAGGGATAGCACCCAGCGGTTTTCATATCTGTCATCCGGTCAGCGTACAGTCCTCACATCAGCTGGATCATCACCGGCATGCTCGCCTGTCCGCGACTCTTTTGCAAGCCTTCAGGACTCGATACCAGAGCTCACCGCCCTCGATGACCAACCCCGACCGCGACCAAGACCGAATGCATCGGCAATCAGTGACAGGAGACAGTCACTTCAGACGATGAATCATCTCCTCGAAATCCGTCTGGCCACCTCCCGGCCTGTTTCGGGTTCGAGTGCGTGGAATTTCGATCCCAGCAGCCCTTCAAGCTCCAGCAAACGATCCAGTAAGCGTTACTCGCTCGCTAGGTCAACAAAATCTCTTCCGGAAGAGGAAGCTGAACCATCTTCTCCGCCCCCACCGCTACCTTCTCAGATTCGCGGCGGTTCACGAAGACCCCCGCCCTCGGCTCTCTGCCTCAACTCACGCCCGTTATCTTTTGTAGAGGATCAACCGTCACCTGCGTCGCCGCTTGATGAGAACGGTATTCCAATCGAAGTAACCGTTGAAACAGCACGAGAGGCGGAGTCACTCTTCTCGTCTTGGGGGTTGCCAGATGCAACCAAGCAACGCTCTAACAGCCGCGAGGACTGGGAAAACCTCTCTCCCACGCAGCCTGTCACACAAGGTAGCCCTGAGAAGAGGTCGGGTTATTTCCAGGCCGAAGGCATCCCATCGGCGATTCCTGCGACATCAGTGGCTTTCCAAGACATGCTCAGATCCACCTCATCCATCGGCAACCACCCGGGTAGCCCAACAAAACGCGTCGATAGAAGAAGATTCAGTCTGCAGTCTCAGCTGTCAGAGAGGTCAAGCGAAACTGGTCGCAGTTTCCTCGACCTGAGTGACCTAGGTGACCACCTCGGTGATCTTCCCCAGATATCTTCGACTTCACTCTCGAAGCCGGGATCGAGACCAGGGCCACATTTTAGGTCGATGTCGGTTGCCAACGGCTTGGGTCCGCGACGGAGCATGACACAGCTGGTAGAAGGTCCTCCGCCTGCTCCTCCGCCAAACCGAGCCCTTCCTCCGATCCCTCCCCCGCCGAACCGTGCCCTTCCTCCGATCCCGAGAAAATCGTCACTTCAGGTCTGTCAGTCAGCGGCTTCTCCTTGAGCTGTGACTTTGAGTTGCCCGTATCTGGTGCCATATTATCATCCTACGCATCGCCATTTCTGGACGTCTGGGCAGAACGACGACTGAGGCTTCCGAGTATCAGTAAGTAACAATACTTGCAGAGCGAAAGGCGTCCGGGGATCCAACTGTCTAAAGATAAACCGTCGCCAAACCGACGATTGATTCCGTTACCATTTCCTTTGTCTCTCTTTTGTCAAGGTCGGGTTCAATCAAAAAAAAGAAGATACCGGTTAGATGGATGGAATAAGGATGCAGGAAGCAAGATACCAGATACCCAGGTGATGAGGGTACATTTATACCACCGGCGACGTCCGGAACGTAACGTGTGAACGATCTCCTTTGTCAAGTTGATTTGGTGCGGGTTTTGTCTTTTAACATATACCTTGTATTATGTAATGTTGTGTACCTACTGCGTATGTAGGTGAAATTAATTGAGGAGGTGAAGGGGCTTGCTTGTGGTGGGCAAGGGCGGGGTGGTTTTCGATTTCCAGTCAGAGGAAGGAGCTCGGTAGCTCCGCTACCATGTCAGAAGAGCTGATGCCCGGCAGGATCCGCGGCTAAGCTAAATATCAGCGAGTTTAGTGTGATCAAATAAGAGTTCATGGAGAAATCTGAATCGATTCCAACTTTCAAAATGAGTGCCAAACGTCGACTTTTTTGTAACCAACTGAACCAAGGTGCGAATTGTACTTGGGGGTTGTAGTGGTGGGACTTTTTCTAAGAGGGGGTTGACGAAAGAGTCCCAGGCCGTACCACAACCCCCTAGTAGTGTCGAGAGAGTCGAGCACTCGAGCTCCATCTTGCGGCGCCCTGTCCCTGGAAGCGCAACGTCCGGGTTAGGGTTGTGATGCCTGTGATGCCCCACTAATGGATGCGAAGCAACCCAAAGCGGATAATGAAAGAAGGGGCAACAGCTCTCGACGCCTGGATGCGACCAGTCCTGCTTTGTCAAAGAAACTGCATCTGTGAGGGATCGTACTGATATTTGCTTGTGTAAATCTGGTGCCTTGATGTTGTTCGTAGAGTACAGCGGTGTTAGCTGCCAAACAGGGTGATTTTACTGCAAAAGCCGAGTCAGCGGGACAATTTTTGCCCCACACTCAAATATCCAAAAATTCGAACCTCAAAAAAATCGGGGGGGGGGGGAAAACTGCCCTGGCTTTTCAAACTTGAGCCCCACCAAAAATCGCCGCCAAACCAGAGCAACGTCAACCCATCGCGACGACAACCCACGGCCATTTCTGCCATCCACCGCACCCATCACCAGACAAGCCGAACCAGCGGATTCATATCGATCACACACTCTCAAGATGGCTACCCTCCAACAGAAGTCAGTTCTCCTCCGTTTGCCTCGACAGCAATTGCCCGTCCGCACCCACGCCCCCGATTTCCCCGATCGCCATTTTCCGGCCGTGCTTTCACAACCCAACACGTGTGCGTTTGATTTGTCGGAGAGCAAGAGTTTAACATAGTGTTCGCGACCATACAGGCACGATTGGGCCGACGATGACGAGCTCGAGGAGACCTCCACCGAACTCCCGCCCCCCCAGAAGATCACCAACAAGGATGGCAGCACGACCATCATCGAGTACCGCCTGAACGACAACGGCCAGAAGGTCAAGACTACACGACGCATCCGCTACATCACCCACCGCGAGGTCGTCAACCCCCGCGTCGCCGACCGCAAGTCGTGGGCCAAGTTCGGCCTCAGCGCCAAGGACGGCGCCGGTCCGGCCCCCGACACCACCTCGGTCGGCGAGAACATCATCTTCAAGCCTTCCTTCAACTGGCGCCAGGACGCCAAGGACGAGAGCAAGGACCCCAACGCCCAGGCCATGAAGGACAAGCTGAAGGACAAGAAGGTCAAGTGCCGTATCTGCAACGGCGAGCATTTCACCGCCCGCTGTCCCTACAAGGACACCATGGCCCCTATCGGCGAGGCCGGCGCTGCCGCCGACGCCGCCGCTTCTGCTGCTGATGAGGCTGCTGCCGCTTCCCAGGGCACGGCGGGTGCTGGCAAGAAGGGCTCGTACGTGCCACCTGCGCTGCGTGGCGCCGGCGGTGCTGCGGCTGCTGGAGAGAGGATGGGCGGCAAGTACGGCGAGCGCGACGATCTCGCCACTCTCAGAGTTACCAACGTACGTTTCCCCCTTTATTCCCGGAGGAGGAGGAGGAGGAGGAAAAGAGGGAAAAGAGGGCAAGGAGGAAGGAGGGGAAAAGGGAGCGGCGAAAGCTGTTTTCCTCCAACAACGAGAGGGTTTTTGAACGGGGATGATACGTGCTAACATTGCTTTCTATGCTCTAGGTCTCCGAGATGGCCGAGGAACAAGAGCTTCGCGATATGTTCGAGCGGTTCGGTCGCGTCACTCGTGTCTTCCTTGCCAAGGATCGCGACACGGGTCTTGCCAAGGGCTTCGCTTTCATCAGTTTCGCGGATCGTAGCGACGCTGTCAAGGCTTGCGCCAAGATGGACGGTTTCGGTTTCAGGCATTTGATTCTCAGGGTCGAGTTCGCGAAGAAGGCTGCGTAAATTTGAGGTGGCTGTGGTCTTCTAGGCGCATGAGGAGGAGATTGAGGAAATGCGATGAAGGAAGGAGGTTATCAGAGCGATTTACTACGGATCCTTAATGCGGTCTGGACAGAAGGAGTGCGTCACAAAAATGAGAAAAGGACTCCTTGATACAACTACTACGATCTGGTACTATCACATCTTGCTATTGGAGTTCATACTAATGGGGAAGGAGCGGCAAAATGTGTTACTTGGTCAAAATATTTCTTTTTGCCTTTGAAATATACCAGGCAAAGGTGTGGATATTTGAATGTTGGTTGGTGCTATGGGTGACGGACCGACCGCTGAGCAATGTTGATAAAATAATATATAGCGCGGGGGGGTGGTTGTTACGAACTTATGAGGATACA